GAGTTCAAAGAACTAGAGACTGCATCTTAGAAAAAGGATTTAGATTTCCTCCCACCTGCCTAGTGAAAGTCAAAGCTTTAAGTAACTAAAGACCCTACAGAGCATATGCAAGCTTTAAGTATTTGGTAATGGGACTCTTAAAACCAAGGATCTCCTCTCACCCAAACTTTCCAGTAGGAAGTGGTGCCATTTCACCAGTTTGCATTAAAAATAATAATAGGTTTTGAGAGAAAGAAGCAGAAACCAGGATGCAGTTGTCCCCCAGTTAAGTGACCCTAACCATAACAAAGACATGCTTGCTGCGTTTCGGCTCTCCTTGCATCCTTCTGACTCATGGAGAGCTTCCAGAAGAGACTGCATAGCCAAATGGCTAAAGAGGTGACAGATGGGGCTTTGAACCATCAGGAAGAGAATAGAATTAACCAGTATTTCTTAATGCTTCAAGGACTGATGAATCACTAGACCATCATACAGAGGAGGAGATTCCTGAAAAAGCAGGAGATTCCTATTAGAAAGTCAGCTTGCAAAAACAAGGCTTTGAGCAGCCAAGCAAGCAGCAGTCACAGCTCTTTAAAAGAAAGGGGTAAGGAGCCAACATGCAGGACAAGATTCAGAGATTTGGCTCCTAACGAAGGAATGTATCATCCTGAGACCCCGAGGAAGGCACTAACATCCCAGGAAGAAAAGCCCTCTTTAGCCAAACACTACAGTCTGGCAGTTCAGCATCCTCCAGATTTTGGTGATGTTAAAGGGCTCTGGATGGTATTTCAAGTATTCTGCACTACAGTTTGAATTATTTACTGGACCCAACTTCATGTTTTCAGTATAAATATTTAAAATGAATGTTAAATTCCAATGGCAGCATTTGAGCCTATATATCTATCTTCTGTTCACCTTTCTCTTTTTTCCTCAAGTCCATGAAGACTTGTTTCCTCCCAAGAGGCTTTCTGTTTGCTGATTTGGTGAGCAGTTTTCTACATGAATGTTTCAGGATATAAGTATTTTCATGCAAGATGCTACTTTTGCAGGTCCTACTAAATTATGAAGAAAAACACCCCTGTTACACTTCATTTCACAGAGAGAAACTACATAATCATATTGCCTCTTGTCAAGTACAATGTACACTACTCCTTCCCTATCTATGATTAACACATAGAAATACTCATATTAGTATTTTCCTAAGTTTATAATAGCCTTCTAATTAATACACTAGCTTTTTAAAGATGATTTTAAAAAATTATAATTGAAGTAAATTCTGCAGATTTCATGAATCAACTTCTTCATCTCCTTTATTACTCCACATTCCTACCGGTCTTCTGGAATGCCCTACTCTTCTATTTACTCCTCAGATGAGGGTTTGCTATTACCTGACTGGAGAGTCATTCATGGAGCTCAACAAAATCAAAATTCTACTTATGATAAACTTTTTTTTCACAGTGAGAAACTCCACCTTATTTTAGTGTGTGTCATTTCTTTCAGCTAATTACAATTCAGTGTTATTGCTGAAATGACTGCATCAGTACTACAAAAAGATTTTATACCAAGAGCATAACTAGTCTAACAGAAAATATCTTTCAGTTCTTCCATCATAAATAATAGAAATACCATAAAATTAATTCAGTGTCAACACACAAAGCACTTATGATACACTAGTGGTAATATCAGCTAACCAATTTTCTTTCCTTAGTAATTCCCAAATGCAAATCCATGGGACTAAATCCTCACAATCTTCTCACTTTACTGTGTCCCACACATAGCTTTTCCCTTCAGGGAGATTATCTTCATGCAGACCAAAGGTTTCTGTGGTTATGCCTCAAGCCACATGGCAAATTCCAGAATAAAGTACATGTGAAGAAAATCTGACATAGAGCAATTTAGGAAAAGGGGGATCCAACTGTGTGATTTAGAAAGCCTATTCTGCGAATCTCAAAAAAGAAAAAAAAAAAAAAAAAGAGGGGTGTCAAAACAGCACAGCATGGTCAGAATTTAATTTATGTAGTTGTCCCTAATCCCAGAAGTAGAAACCTTGCCTTCTAATGGACTCCAGAAGAAAGGAGGGAAGGGATTATAGAGATCATCATTGATGCTCTGTCATTGTTACAATATTTTGGAAACAGAGAAACAGCGATAATAGATGGGAAAATGTCTCACTTTAAGTGACCAAGAGGCCTACATTAGACTAGCTGAAGTATATATTGCACCATGGTACTATACTTTATCTGACTAATGTGCTTATGCTAGAATTGGGCGTGTCCTGTCACATTCCCGCTCATGCAGCTAAATGCACAGAGGAAACTGCCTTATGTCCTTATGTCTGTACATAAGTGCATTCCACTGCCAGTAATTCATAAGGAAGTCAAGGAAAAAAAAATGTCTACGCAAACACTTAAAGACTGGCACCAGGAGGTGTTTAAGATCCCTGCTCCTCTGCTATTTCCACATAATCCCATCTAGGTGAGAACCATTCCTCTCAGCCAGTTTTGTCACATCAACTAGAAGATATGAATACCTAGGATGAAAAGCTTGAAGAAACACCCCAGGAAAACAAATCTTCCACATCACAACCAGCTATGTTAATTCCAGCCTTAGAATAAATACCACAAAAAATCATTTTTCTATTTCTCACGCAGATAAATGGTTACTGTATATGTACACATCTCCAATGAAATGTAATATTTTTTTATTTCAGATGCAAGATTGTGAATCTGAAGGAAAACATACCACAGATCATGAGCCAATTAAGTGCACGGACCTGTCCTGGAAAACAGAAACTACAGTCTGTACCAAATTGCTAGTGAAAACATGTCTTCTTTTTTCTTGAGCTGTCTGCAAACTGATTAAGTAAGACAACTTACTAGCTATGAAAAATTAACATGCTTCTGATTTTGTAATGTTTTTCCTAGTGTACTATCATCACTACGATATACCTGGTAATGACAACAACAAAAAAATAGCATTTTCCCTGACATGAAGAAAAATGTAATTATGAGTCTCTTGACAAATTTTGTAGAACAGGCCAAGGCATCAACTGTCTTGAGTTTAACTCTGTTCAAAGAGCATCTCTACTGATAGCGAGCCTATGGATACATACCTATCAAAAGTTTTCAGCATTCTTTTACTAAACAAGAGCCTAATGGACAAGTTTGCATGCACGTCCAAAAAGGCCATCCTTGAACTGAATTCCAAGTCTTACAAAAAGTGTCTGAAAAATTATAATAAAACTGAATATGTCAAGAAGACAGATAAAAGACTGGAGTCTACTTTCCATCTGAAAGTAAAGCCTAAATTTGGAGACTTAGGCAACAGTTAGGATTAATCTACATGAGACAATTACACAACTTTGACTTTAATTTCTCTTTTTTTTTTAACACGGTATATTTAAGCCCATATAAGACTCAGCCTGAAATAATTTATTTCAGTTTTTGAGTAGTTCATAATCTTAATAATTATTAAATGGCCCTATTAGATATGTGCTGTGTCTACTACATGAGCTCTTCAATACATGCAGACTTGGTGGTTCAGAAATTTAAGACAACTCTGAAATTCTTAAAGTAGTTATCTGTGCACATCACTGCATCATACCATGTAGACATACTTCAAGCGCTTAAAAAAATGTGTAAGATGGTTACCACTGCTTCTGTTTCTTTGCATTTCTGTAAGGTGACGAGGTCCCAAGCCAGTGGTATGGTCCTGATATACAAACTGATGTACAGAGTTGGACTTTAATCAGAAGAATTTTAAGTTATCATGACAGACAATGGTCAGACAACTGAAATGTCCATTCTTGCTTGGTAAGTGTAACAAGGAATGCATAGCACTAGCTGTATTAGTAAAGTCTTTTATCTCCTGCTGTGAAAAAGCACAATGCCTGCATGTTGCCTTTTTTTCTTTTTAAAACTAGGATCTTTGTAGTGTGTTACTAGGTTGAAATATACTGTGAAACTGCATGATGTGGCACCATGAACTTCCCCATTCTGACTGTGTTTACATCTCCATGCAAATGTCTTCCCAGCAAAGCAAATTGAGAAGTTTGGGGTTACCGTATCAAGAAACTAAGCCTGATCCTCATTTAGACTTTGTAGATGAAAGTAAGTGCTGGCTCACATTTAGGGAGAAAAAAAACAAACTTGTTTCAGTTCTGTTAAACTTACGGGATGGTGCATTTTCATTTAGCACTAAATTAAGTAACTCAAGTCCACCCAGCTGTCTACTTCAAATTTGGACTTTGGCTCAGAACTGGCCAGCTTGCTCTCATTTCCAGGGGAAAACGCTCACCACCTGACTGCATGCTTCACACCAAGGGTATCAGACTGTCAGAAGCCTGAACTAGAGAGGAGCGTTGGTGTTGCTTTTTCTTTCACACAGTTTATTCTGCCCAATCATCCTTTCTATAGTTTCAGCCCTTGTGATGGGAACCAAACTAGCAGCCCCTACACATTCGCAGTGTAGAAGAGTTCAGCCGTGCAGAGTCCTGTATAACTTCTGCCCAACTGGAGAAGGTGTTTTGCAGGCAGCGTCCATCAGATTGCTGTGATAATGGCAGCTCTAGAGGACACTGAATCAAGACCACAAATTTATTTCATGTAAGTCAATGAAAAATGACAAAGAGGGGCCAAAGCTGGATTTGAACTGAACTCCATAACCCATTGGTTTGAGCTATCTGGCACTCTGCCTTATTCTCTGCCTCTGGCTGGAGATTTAAAACACAGTAGTAGTCTGCCAGAGGACACAGTGTATCTGTCCTCATGAAGAAAAATGGAGCAAAGAAAAACATTTGGTTCCCTTGTAGGATTACTGTTTACAAATAAGAGAAGCAGGTCTTCAAATTGAGATATGCTAACTTCTCTGTAGCAAACGTTTTTTTGTGTTATTTCTTATGGCCTGCCTAGCAGTTTATTACTGAGAAACAGTGACAGAAAGCAGTCAAGAGAAGGCCAGTCAGACCACAGCAGCGAGAAATTCCTCCTAAGAATGTTAAATCTTTCTTATTAGGGACTAACCTGCATACTTCTAAATCATCAGACCAGTCATCATACAACACTGGAGGCTTCTGAACAGCATCAGTCACACCGGGCCCTGCCCCAGCAGGCGCTCCGTTACCTGGGGCTGCCGGAGCATCCCCGCCAGAGCCTGCCTCTGCAAAGCAGTCCTTCGAGTCTTTATTGTGTCTAAGGAAAGATGCAGGCTGCTGATCTCTGTGGTAGCTTTTCCCTTTGCTTTTCCCACATTTTCTCGAGGAAATCCTTGCTTCCTGGGATGACGCTGAAGACTGTGATTCCTTAAGCCTCGGAACCCTTCTTCGGCGGTGATTTAAAGTAGGATTCTCAGGGTCAGGCACCTCTTGCTTCTTTTTCCCCATCGTCCCCAAGGTGACAAGTTCAACAGCATTATTGTTTGAGGACTCATCCTGGTTACTGCATGATCTATAGTGCCTTCTCCCTCTCCTGGGCATTCTGGCCTTTTCTCTCACTCTCCTCCTAGCCTGAGCCCACTGACTCTCATCTGAAGATGATGATGAATCAGATGCATTCCAGCTGGATCTTGCAGGCTCAGGATGCAATTTCCAGTCTTTCCCCCTTCCTTGCTTTTCTGTATGCTCACCATTGTCTCCAGTCTCTCTTTTCCGCCTAAACCTTCGTTTTACTTGTTTCTTACCAGACTCCCTATTAGAAGGGGTCAGCACCATGACAGGGGTTGCATGTTCAAGCTCATCTTCTGACAAATCATGCAAGGTAGTAGATCTAGACAAAGCAGTAAGCAAAGGAAAGGGATGGAAATGGTAAGGGTGGGTGGAAAGAGAGAAATCACAAAAAAAAAAAAAGAATGAAAATGAGAACATGAATTTTAATAGAAAAACATGAGACTGAAAAGCAAAATTAGAACCAAAACAGAAATCAAAAGAAAACTGAAGCTTATGTAAGTTATGAATAGTGTTAAGCAGAAGCAAGAGCTACATACTACTTAATAAAAACAACAAACAAGTAGCAGACAGATTAGAGTATATTTTTCTCAGCACATACCTACAAATGTCCTGAGTGGAAGGGCAGACAGACAACCGTGACTGACTCCTGGGAGCTGTTCCTGTTGTAGGACTGCTTGCCTGTTGAAATAAGTTAGAGAGTTTGGAATCTTTGTCCATGAAATACATTGCAGATATTTTACTGCTTTGCCACATGATTACAAAATTAAAGTAACTGTTGCTGCTGTTCATAGCACACAGTTGAACATATGCAAGCTCACAAAATACAGGAAGCCTGACCAAAAGCAAAACCTATTTGTGGAACTAAATATGACTGAAGTGTTTCAGCTCTCATTCGCTCACGACCACTTTTTTTTCACTGTTTGAGGAAGCAGCTTTCAACATTTGAATTTTCATTTAGGTTTTGATCTGCTGTATGCTGGTTTTATTTCATGCAATCAAACAACCATGATGATTCCTTTCAAAATGGAGTGAAGTGCATTTACATTACACTGAGTGATGAAGAGCACAAAGCTAACCTATGCTGAGTGGACTGACAGAACAGTAAAAATTAAACTGTGTTTTAAAATGTTTTCAAGGCAATCAGATCTTCCAGAAGAGCTGAAAAATGTTACACTGATGAGCCTGAGAAGACCAAAGTGCAGGCTGCATCTCTACAGAGCTGATGACAATATCAAACAGCAGAAGAGATATAAAACACTTTTAGTACATGATATTTTGCTCATAAGGTTGTTGCTACAAATTGCAGACTCAGTTGCTCAATACTTCCACTGGAAGCATATTTTGGTTATGTTAACCGCAAACCATTTCAATCTGCCTCGTAGCCTACTGTCAGCATAGCTGTATGGAATCCAAATTTAAATCCGAGGCTTTGTGATTCTTCAGGACCACTCACAAGGTAGAGTATTGTGGAAAGAGGGATCAATGCAAATAATTATTTTTTTGGTAAGGGCATTAGCTTTTAGTATGCAACCCTATGCCATCAAAAGCACCGCTACTAAATGGAGACAAAATACTAGAAGCCTAAGAGTTCCACAAGATCACACATGAGATGCAAGGGAAGAATGACTATTAAGCAAGAGTACAAAGTACAAATAATACAAAGATGTAAAGGCTGTCATCCCAAGCTTTTGTACTAGCAAATCAAATTCAGTCACATGTAGAATCCCTAATTGAAATTATTTCTAGATCACCTTTCACAGACATTTTTATGGTGTCAGCTTGAAAATTAATAGTACAAGCAAAAATAAATAAATATAGCAAGTACCTGATGACACTTCACTTTTATCTGATATTCTTAATATCCATTATACTTCACGCATAAATCTTTTAGAAACATCATTCACCACTATGTGCATTTTTGCTTTTAATGGGATACCAGCTGAGAATTAAGAACAGTGCTTTTGCACGAAAATAATCTTCTAGCTCTCAGAATTCAAGTAACTCTTTTTACCTCTTGATTAATATCATAACACCAAAAATATTACTAATTCTTTACTGCTAGTTCCATGAAATAAAACTCAGAGATATGAAAACTAAGTCAACATGGTAAATGAAACTGATAAAGCATTTGGGCACGATCCTTATATTCAAATGGTTTTTCAATGCCTGGTTCCAGCAGGCAGAGGAGGAACATTACTGTGTCTACATGCATTCTAGTGTTGGAAAAAAGGCTGAGTATTAGTGAGAGAGACTGTTTGTATTCCATATCTGGTTTTCTACAAAAAGCAACATTACAATTACACCTACTGCAAAGGAGTATGAATTGTTCTCACATACGTATCAGAAACAGATGGTGTATGTACGGTTGGGTATATAATCTTTTTCTACCTCATCCTCTGTGATTAGTTTTAAGTGACTATGCATACCTTAAGATACTTAATGAGGAAAGATGTAGACGTCAGCACCAGAGCCACATTGTTGGGCTGTGTGCTGCTACTGTGTGAAAAAAGCCCCTCCAGACTAAACCTGAGGTGAAGGACTGCTGGAGAAATCCAGCCCTAGAGTTGAGAGTGGGTACTTTGATTTACCTCTCATGTCTAGTTCCCATTTCTATTTCCCCCTCACAGCTGCAGGACTGTTACCATTGCTTCTTTCAGGTTCTGTGTACTACAAGGGTTTGGCTTGGATCTTAAGCGGTGGTCAGGTCATCTCCATGCTGTAAATGCAAGTTTTAGATCACCTTGCCATAAGCATGACCCTTTGAAGAGTTAAGGAGAACAGCTAAACTGGCCCAGTAGCTGTGCAGTAAGTCTGCACAAGTTCCAGAAACTTTCGGCAGCTATTAAAGTGGGAAGTCAGCTAGACAGTTCTTAAGAGGGCTGGAATCGAGCCAAAAATTCAAACAAATTCCTTAAAAAGCTTTTACACTTATTATTTGGGACTGGAGACAGGTGGAAATTTAATTATTTTAAGATAAAAATTACATTACCAGTTTGATTTCTTAAATCTTACATTTCACTCTCAGCTGTAAAGAGGTCTGGACTGTTTCAGCCTTGCTCAGGCAAATTTACTTTTTAGTTCCCCTGCACTGGCAAAATGATGTTATGTTTAGTTGTACATAACTCAGAGGAAGGTTTATTTCCTTCTAAAATAATTTACATAAAATTCTTAAAAAAAAAAAAAAAAAAAAAAGAACATTTTTTGCTTGTTTGTCTAATCCCTATTGGAACAAACCTGACATCTGGGTAGGCAAAAAGCCTATGCAACACTTAAGTCTTCAAAAACAAAGCAAGAAAACTCCAACATGCCAAGTTATGCACAAGATAATTCAGATTCTTATCTGTGAGCAAGTTTCATTCAATAGGTTTCTACAACTTCTAAACACAAATTTGGCTTTTTTTATGTAAGCTTTCTTGTTTTTAATCATCTTTACTGCTAGTTTTAGCAACAAAATACAAAATCTTTTAAGCAGCATTACATTTATTTTAAAGGCATATCTGACAAACCAAAACATTATATTTGAATGTATTCTGCTCACATCATATCAGTTCAGCTCTTATGGGAATGTATATGCAAGAGATGTTGGAAATAGTCTCAAGCACACATATCTTAGTGCTATAATTGCTATCCCATTGCTATATTGCTATTTAGCACACTGAATATTTTGAGATACTGTATTTATTGAATAGAGGGATCAGATGGATGCTGTGGACTCTGCACTTGGCAGGCAGAACAATGAAATTTTTTAAAATATAGTATTCCTTGAATGAATGTCTACTTCAGACAGCCATATTGTACAGCTCATTGGAATGAGAAAACTAAACAAGCACTGTACTAATTTTATCATAGCAAATTATATCAGAAGCATAATTAAATGTGGTAATTCAAAAATAAAGTTGTCTGACAAATAATTTATAAGCAAGGCAGATCATTTCTCTATGCCATCAACACAAGGAAGATGTCTGAGGGATGATGCCAACTCCAGCTGCTTAGGTTTGGCATTTCAAAAACGTTGTTAGTCGGGACATTCCCCAGTCACCACCTTCTGCTATCTTGGCCAGTTTAGATGAACTCTTTTGTCAGGGACAGGCAATTCAACTAACAAACACAACAGGGCACTTATCTATAACTATTTTTCATATGTTCAACAGGAGTTGATAGTATGCTTTTCAAATAGAATACTAGTAAGTACAGAGTTTTCAGGACAAGTGAGAATAATCATTTATCTGACACAAGGGCACTTCAGTATCACACATGTATAACCATCTTAAAAGACTGCAGCAAAGACAGAAACGGGAGACAGAATGAAGTTCAACTGATGAAAACAATAAGAATTTCAAATCAAGACTGCCTTTACTCTGGTGTTCAGGATCTGACAGAATTTTCCAGATAATAAAAAAAAAATGAGAGTCCTCACTGACCATTTATTGCTTAACACTACATGTTGAAACTAGCCCAAGAACTTGAGTCAAGTTGTGCTCTTCTTAAGAAGAGAGAAGGTCTCTACTTTGACCTAACAGAAAGACTTAGTAGAAACACATTCTACAAGTGCAAAGCTTTCATATAGGAATGGAGTTAAGCTTTAAAATAACAAACCAGATGTAATGGAAAACTGATATAAAATGGCCTCACAGATTTCACCAGAAAGGCTAATGAAACCTCTAATGCTTCTAATATGAATAAGGAAGGCCAGAGGCACTTCCTAAAGCTGCTCATCTTAACACTGCTTAAGTAGAAAGTTGCAGAAAAATGAGGGATGATAATAGGGCAGACAGGGGATATGACTAATGCTTTTATTCTCCTACTAAGTATGCTTTATAGCAGTGATGCACCCAAGAATCCTTCAGATCCCACCAGCCAATATAGTTAAAAAGCTGAAACTCTGTCCTGTTAAAATAATGGCACATCAAGGAGTGGATACCTTAGATTAGAGCAGCTTGCATGGCAATAAGCTCAACAGGAGATCCAGTCTATGTATTTTCGTCCAAAAATTTCTGCTTTGAAAACAATGCAACATTTTATGGAAAACATCCAAATTTATAAACTTTTATATGGATAATTCCTCAAGTCCAAAAAGATCAAAAACATGGTGGAAAACATCCAAGCCAGGTATATCTTACAAAGTCTGTCTTGACAGCAACTGAAACTTATGCACAGGGCTTTGGGGGAAGGAGAGGTTTTGGTGGGTTTTTTTGTTTGTTTTCTTTTGGGTTTGTTTTTGTTTTGTTTTGTTTTGTTTTGTTTTGTTTTTTTGTTTAGTTCTTTCTGATGAAGTTCCTGATTTGTGCTCAGATTTCAAAGTTGTTATAGTCTGATTGACGGCTTTACAGCAACCGTTAAATTAATTGGTAACTCAATTCCTGTTACATTTTACATTTTCTTTCACAGAATTTTTTTTGGTAAATTATTCCTCACACATTCCTTCCTCAAACCTTTTCTTTCTCTCCTGTTCTCCTCCCCCTCTTTCCACCTGCCTCTGAAGAGAAGGAATAAAGAGAAAAGTAACACAGAAGGAAGGAGAAGAAATATCCCTGTCATTCTGCTGAACAATACCATTCAGCACCTTTGGAAGTCAGTATGATCTTCTTATAAAATAGTTTGAAAACTGAATCACAGGTTTACTTTGTATCAAAGTAAAATAAAAATTGCAAGTGGCAAATCTATTTTACCATTTTAAA